TATATATATATATATATATATATATATACGAAATAATTTGATATGTTTCACGCACATTTGCAAACTATAGTATTCTCTAGTTTTTCTCACATTAATATCGAGTAAAATTCTTAGCAATATCAAGAAAAAAAATTATTGAGATACAATTTTTTATCTTAAGCGGGTATATTGTATCAATGTATAGTATACCAAATAATTTGATTTCATACTTTATCGATGAAATACAAAAAATGATATTCAGTTCTAACATAAACATAATTGCCCAGTGTACAAAACAAAATTGAGACCCACGTTTTTTATAAATAAAATAAAAAAGACCAAAAAAATAGTAATTAAAAAATAATTAAATAGAAGCTGCTATTAATACAACTATTTTGAAATAATTTTATAAAAAAAAATTATGATTGAATAAATCAATGAAATTTCCTTGACTCTGTAATTAGTGTATCTTAAAAAGGTAAATTTTTATGGTCTAATTATTTCTTTAATTATCCAAAGTTTGAGTAATTAAATACACAAAAAATACATAACAATTATTAAATAATATTTAAATAAAAATTGTCATTAACACACAATTTTTTTAGAATAGTTTTTTTTCAAATCGCATAATTGATTATTTTAGTTGATATTTTCAATATACCTTAATATATAGTTTTTTTTCTAATCAAGTTATATTAAAAATGCATTTCACAGATAAATTACCTGAAAAAATAAAACACTTATTAAATAGTTAATTACACAATTTAGTTGAAAAATTTTTACCGAATCACATAATTGATATTGCAGCCGAAATCCATATTTAGGTAGATCAGCCAAATTTACATGATTTGAGTAATTAAGTTATATTAAAAATAAATTTATTTATGACTTATATCATTTCCTTAAATAATGAGCCGCAATTTCCATAAGTGATTATTTGAAATATACCATAAATTGTTAAATTAATTTCCTGAAATAGTAAATAGATTTTTTTTTTGTAAAAATAATTATTATAATATTGAAATTAATTTTGTAATAAATAAATTTAGTCAACAACTTTGATCGGCAGTCGATGGACATTCATTGGCGCTGATCGATCGTCGATCAACGACCAATCAATGTCGGTCGAGATCACCGAGATTGTCGTCTCTTGCTGGACCTCTGCCGCTGTTGCTCCACCTTCGTGGTCGTCACCGCCTGCCGCTGACGGTATCGAAAGTCGGCCACTCGCCATCCGATAAGGATATTTCTGCAAATAAGGCGGCTAGAGATTTCTCCTCTTTCTCTGTCAAATTCATCTTCTCCCCATCATTTTCTCCACAATAATCCACTTGCCCTCCTTCTAAGGCTCCACGCCGCTCAGAAACCGGTGGATCCAGCAGACCGACCTACTATTCGTCGTGGAAAATAGAAGAATCCAACGATCGCGATTTGAAATTGATTATGGATCTTGGACAGTGTTTCCGCTTCGAACCCGACCTGAACAACTCCCCGTTTGCGTTGGACATAGAGTCGTTCGTGGAGTGCGACGTGAGGGCGCTTCTGGAGTTCGAAGAGGAGTAGGACGAAGGGAAGGAGAACAAAATGATGGCGTTTGGGAGGCGAGGCGGAAGTCGGTGATGAATGCCATCCGGAAGTATGCATTGTTGTCGCTGTTATACCCTGAGTCCGACTGCGACGCCCTATCGAAGGGGGATTTCGCGGCGGACAGAATTGGGGATTGCTAGAGGTTCGTTCACAACATGGGATGAAAATCAGATTTTGGGTCAGGGCTTGTGTTTGAAAAATGGACAAATCATGGGTAATTAATTGCAAATTCATTAACTTATATGTTATTGTAATTTGATCATTAAGTTAAATTTAAAATTTATCTAAGGTTTCATTAACCGCACTCTAGTCCTTGGGTTTGTAATAAATAATTAATACATGTTTAGTTCATTTATTTTGCAGTTTGAGTAATATATTATGCAATTTGTTTCATATATAACAACTAATACATATTGTAATTCATGAACAATGCACACTTAGTCGATATTATTGTTTCATATTTATTTCATAAAAAATACATATTCACTTCATAATAAATGCTTATTTAGTTCATATCAATTGCATATCAAACAGTCAATATAATTTTTATATTATATAACTAATTTGATATATTAATATTTATTTTATAGTATATAATTACTATAATACATAGGACATATTTAGTTCATTCATTATGCGTATTTGGGTAATTAAAAAAATATTTTATTCATATTAATGCATACTTAGTTGAGAACACAAAGACAATAGCTATAGTTAGTAAGACTCAAGGATATTGCTATATTTTGACTTCATATTTAATTCATACATATTGCATATTTACTTCAAGTGAGGTCCAATCATATTAATTTATTTTTGCAAAATAATTAGCTCATATTAATCATTTTTTTTTAACGATAGAACCTTTTATATATAAAACACATTTGTACATCAAGATCCAACCAAACGGCCGACTAAAGCAGCTATTGAGCCGAATCCAGTGGGAGGGCAAACCCAAAGATCGTCTAGACACTTCCAAACTCCCAACAAAAGAATGCAAAAATCCTACAAGTAGAAACTACAAGCAACACACTCCCAAAAGGAGAGAAAAGAAACAAAACACACAAAACCACACATACACACACACACACACACTGATATGGGATATTATATGCCTGAAGGAATAAATCGGTTCACTACGCCGGCCATACGAGCCTAATATTGGGAAGACCACGTGGGTCAAGAAACAGCAGGCTGAAAGGCAGTGGTCGAATATTCTGGGAGATCTGGTCGAAGATCGACCTACTGGGTGAGAGATCATTGGATCGACCACCTAGTGAGTGAAGAGTAGACGGGAGCATGATCCAGACGTGAGGGAGCGCGTGAGCATCCTAGGGAATTTCCAAGGAATATTTAAGGGAATAAGTACCGCATGTGCAGAGGACACGTGGAAAAGACACATTGGCGCACAGTGATAGTGGTGATAACCACCTCTAACACACACACACACACACACACTGCGTGTATACGGACGGGCAGATCTGGGCACCTTTGGGCAGACAGCTCATCAAATCCGAGCAGCTCCTAGGGTAAGTATCTCACCCCTATATATATGGGGGTGAGCCTTTCTTGTTACACACGATTTATCCATATTCACTCTTGAGAATTGAGTAGAACCAACACTAACTTAAGCATCGGAGGCTCTTCATCAGGAAAACCCCTCCGGTGTAAGAGTTTTTTGCAGGTACGCGGCGTTCTACCGGCGAGGAGGAAGAAAGCGAGCCGATTTCCAGCCGGTTGGAGTGTTATGCGTTACCATTTGGTGCCCTCTGTGGGGACTTTCGTTCGAAAAGCGGTGTGCTGAGGTTGTTTGAGCTTGGTGGCTATGGCAGACGGACGGTCGATGAAGCTTGGACGACGACGAGGCCGTTTGGAGAAGGCCCTCCTCCAGGTCTTCTCCAGACCTTTGCATACACCGGCGACCCCAACACCTGCTCCTCAAGGTTTAGGGGCCCCACCGGTGCTTCCAAAAGCAGATGTCAGCTCAAGCCGAGCTCAGGAAGCTCGCACGACATAGGAAATGACAATCCCAGCGCCGTTATAGCCAAATCTGGCCGAGATCCAGCCATTGGGAGTGGTGGTGCAGGGAGCAGCACCACCGCGAGTGGAGGAGCAGCGTCCCGGTCAGCAGGTGGTGATGACCAGGCAGGACATGCTGCAGATGGTGGCAAATGTGGCTGCACAAGCGGTCCAGTAGCCTAAGCATAGCCTTGCTCGAGCGGCTACTGTGCCGACTACGGTGACGGGTGCACATCATATCATGGAGGAGGACGTGTCTAGCTATGGAGGAGTTAGAGCCCCACGAGATCGGGAGATAGAGAGGCTTGCTGAGCATGTGAGGCAATTGCAGGCCAAGGTGGATGGTCGAACAGAGAGGCGTTCTCGAGGACATCCTTTCTCAGGAGATATAGTGGCTGCACCGTTGCCCGCGAATTTCAGGTATATGAGTTTGGTGTTCGATGGGACTTTTGTCCCATCAAGGCATGTGAGGACATTTAAGAATATGACTGTGTCACATGGTTTTACTGATCCTGATAGTTGCAGGGCATTTCTATCGACCTTGAGAGGAGGTGCACTCGATTGGTTCCAACAGCTCCCCCTTGGATCAACCACAGATTTCGAGGACTTTGCGGAGAAGTTGACAACTCAATATTCGAGTGTTGTGGCATAGGAGAAGACTTACTTGACCTTGATGGTGATGAGGTAGGGGGAAAAGGAGTCGTTGCATAAGTACGTGGCTCGATACAATCAAACTTGTTTGGATATCCCTACGACTGCAGATGAGGTGAAGGCAGGAGGGTTGGTTGATAAGGAGTTTACGAGCAGGGCCTTGTCGAACATCTTTGGCCAAAACTCCTACTCGTACATATGATGAGGTGCTAAAGAGGTGCAAAAAGTATATTAATCTCGAGGAGACGGAGGCAGAGTTCACAAAGTTGGAGGAGTTGGCTCGACCAGAGCCAAAGAAAGGGAAGGCGAACTCGCCTAAGAGGGTGTCACCAAGGAGAGGATTGCGCAGGAGAGAGGAGCGCGGTAGAATGGATCGAGGGCGTCAGGATAGGTGGAAGGACCGACCCATTTCAATGGGAAAAATATTTCATACTGTTAGACCGTTAAATGCGAAAATGGGGGAAGTATTGGTGGTCAATGAGAAGAAGTAGATGACAAATATGTCACGTGGCCCAAGTCGAGGTTTGAGGGGCCGACCAGTCTACATCGAGTAGGTATTGCTGTTTTCACAAGGATTATCATCATATGACGGAGGACTGCAGACACCTCAAGGATGAGATCGAGTGCCTTATTCGGGCAGGGCATCTCAAGGAGTTTTGTCTATCAGGATAGGGTGAAGGGGAAGGAGAAAAGGAGGTGTCGGGAGGATTCAGTGGAGAGGAATGATAAGGATGATGACTAGGAGGAAGATGCTCGAGAAGAGAGAGGTTGTAGAACAGATAATGGAGGCAAGAGGAGGAGGGGAAGCAGAGATCGAGAGGGCCAGGAGGACTTGGGCCTTATGAAAAGGGGGACGATATACATGATTTCCGAAGGACCAACTAATGGGGACTCGAATTATGCGAGGAGAGGGCATGTTCGAGCAATGAAGCGGAAGAGAGAGGAGGTGGGGATTACGGCTCGAATGCCCAAGATAAGTTTTCGGGCGAAGGATGCTGAGGGAGTGGTGTTTCCCCACAATGATGCACTGGTGATTACGACGGAGGTGGTAGGCTTTGATGTGAAAAGGGTGTTCATTGACACAGGGAGCTCGGTCAATGTAATGTTTTATGATTGTTTTGTGCAGATCAACAGAGAGCTGAATATCGAGCTGAAACCGGTTGCCACAGCTTTGTATGGATTCAATGGAAGAGAGGTGATGCCAATGGGAGAGGTGAGTTTATTCGTTTCTTTGGGGAAAGGAGTGACGAGGAAGGTGAGAATGGTGAGGTTTGTGGTTGTAGGAGCAGAGTCTTTGTACAACATCATTGTGGGAGAACCAGTTTGAATGCGTATCAGGCAGTTGTGTCGACATACCACATGACGATCAAGTATCACATGGGCGAAAATGTTGGTGAGGTCGCGAGAGATTAGCTCACCTCGAGGAGTTGTTATCAAACCACAGTGAGTAACAATAAACAATTGGCGAAAAGGCAGGTGAAGGTGGGGGAGGAGACACCAAGTCGACCTGGTGGTTCAAGGTCGAAGGAGGAAAAGGTGAAGTCTGATAAAGGAAAGGAAAAGGCGGAGATGCAACTAGGGGGGATATTGAGGAGATTCAAATGGTGGATGAATGTAAAGAAATGAGGTTTAGGATCGAGAAGGAATTGGAGGAGCATATGAGATCGAAATTAATAGGGTTGATAAGGGAGTTCGCGGATGTCTTTGCTTATACTGCGGAGGAGTTGACAGGGATTAAGTCGGAGGTGATCGAGTATAGGCTGAATATCGACCTTTCAGTAAGGCCGGTGAATCAAAAGAGGAGGCACCATAGGGCGGAGATGGATAAGGTGATCGAGCAAGAGGTTGAGAAATTATTGAAGGCAGGTCACATTAAGAAGATCTAGTTCCCCGAATGGTTATCTAACACATTGATTGTGTCGAAGTCGGAGGGCAAATAGAGGATGTGCATCGATTTTCGTGACTTAAACAAGGTGCGTCCGAAGGATTTATATTCATTGCCAAGGATCGACCAGCTGGTCGATTCCACTGCAGGATGTGAGCTGCTCAGTTTGATGGATGCGTCCCGAGGATATCAACAGATCCCTTTGGCTCGGGATGATAGGAAGAGGGTGAGTTTTGTGACGAGTAGGGGAACTTATTGCTATGTGGTGATGCCGTTTGGTTAGAAAAATGCGGGAGCAACGTATCAAAGGTTGGTTGATAAGATTTTCAAGGAGCAGCTCGGGCGGAATATGAAGGTGTACGTCGATGATATGTTGGTGAAAAGCAATGAGGAGCTCGATTATATGAACGACTTGAGGGAAACATTCTTGACATTGTGAAGATATGGTATGAAGCTGAATCCTTCTACGTGTTCCTTTGGGGTGAAGTCGGGGAAATTTCTGGGA